CTTAATTATTAGTGATATTGAGCATCTTTTCATGTTTCTTGGCCATTTGGAAAAATGAGTATACAATTTCTTTGCCATTTATCTATCTATTTATTTGTTTTGAATAGTAGTCTCACCCTTAACCAGGCTGGAGTGCAGTTGCATGTTTGCGGCCACCACAGCCTTGACCTGCTGGGCACTGGTGATCCTTCTGCCTCAGCCTTCCAAGTAACTGGAACTACAGGCATGTGCCACAATGCCCGACTAATTTTTTGTAGAGACAAGGTCTCGCCTAGTTGCCCAGGTTGGTCAAACTCCTGAACTCAGGCAATCCTCTTGCCTCCACATCCCAAAGTGCTGGGATTACAGGTGTGAGCCACTGTGCCTGGCTATTAACATGGTCTTAACTTCAAATCTCTTACTGTTATAATTAGGAGATGGTGTTTACACACATGTAAATAACAGTTAGTCTTGTGGTTGAAATTAAGAGTTTATTGAGGGAAAGGATTGCTGATAGCTCAAATGACCAGGAAAGACTTCATGGAGGAGTTTTAAGTTGTGGTGTGAACTTTTTTGAGAAATTTCAGTGTAAGCACAGATAATATGTGGGGGGAACCAGGCAAGGCATATTGGGAAGAAATGAATAGCAAATGTAGTGTGCATGGAGTTCATGTAAGCAAGTGGTAGCAGACGCTTAACGAAGTTAAATTGGAGCTGAGAAGAATCAGGATTACATAATTTATATCTGGAGGGAACTTTAAAAACTATTTTACAGTGAGTAATTTTGTAGAAATGAAAAGATGTTTGTACTTAAACTTGTAGACAATAGAGCATAATTTGAAGTTTTTTAATTAGGCAGTGTGATATTGGGAAATATATATTTGGTCTTAAACCTAGTTTCTTGACATAAAACTCCCCAAATCCTTAGAAACTCCAAAGTGATGTCTTTTTGTATGTAATGAGTTGACTGATGGCTGGCAGCTCCTAACTAGCTACTGGATGGGGTTGGTCACCTGAAAGACCAAGACATTATTAGAAGGGTTGAGACTTTCAGCCTCACCTTCAACCTCTGGGGATAGGAGGGGCTGAAGGTTAAGTTGATCACCAATGGCCAATGATTTATTAGTTATGCTTATGCAGTGACGCCTCCATAAAAACCCTAAAAGGACAGGGTTTGGGAGAGCTTCCAAATAGCTGAACATGTGAAGCTGGGAGGATGGTACGCTTGAGAAGACATGGAAGCTCCACACTTCTTCCCACATACCTCACCCTATGCATCTCTTCTTCTGTACACTTTATAATAAACCAATATGTGTGTTTCCCTGAGTTGTGTGAGACATTCTAGCAAATTAATTGAACCCAAAGTGGGAATCTTAGGAACGCCAACTTGAAGCTGGACAGTCAGAAATTCCAGAAGCCCTGACTTGCAACTGGTGCCAGGAGCGGGGACAGACTTGAGGATTGAGCCCTCAGCTTGTGGTATCTAACATTATCTCCAAGTAGATCATGTTGGAATTGAATTAGAGGACACTCAGCTGGTGTCTGCTGCAGAAATAATTGCCTGTTTGTTGGTGGGAAACACCCTCTATGCATTTGGTCATGGAGGTCTTCTGTGTTCATTGTTGTTACAGTGGTGTGAGAGAAGAGGGAAAAAAGTGCCTCCCCATTATAGTATTGATTTTTAGGGGATATTATTCTGTTCTCCTTTGTAAGAGTTCTTAGAATTGGAAATTTTGTACATTTTGTTTTAAGGCATTCTTGGGTATAGCAACTTGAACTACTGTGTTGACAAATAAGAATAAAAGTGGAAGGATTAATATGAGAGATTAGGCCAAGGAATAATCAGGTATTAATCGTTTCAATAAGTATTGATCAGACAGTAGTAGACTTTTAAGATAGAATGTTCAGACAGTTTTAGATTGTCTTGTATTAAACAAGTCTGTATTTTGGTATGGTATACTATTCAGTTTCATTCGTCCACTGGTGAAGTATTTATACTGTTAGGCTCTCCATGTTAGTGCCACTATTACCTATGTTTTTTTTATGTGTACTGTTTTAATTCTACATTTTTATCTCAACTGGATTCTGTTAGTTTCAATGAAGTCAATGAGAACAGATTATTCATATCAGTTGATGGTGGCTTTGTGCATTTGAATAACAATTTTTTCTGTCTCCAAATATGTGGTGTTTGAGCTGTTCAGTCATGCTTAGCTGAGTCTATCATGGAAATTCTGTTTTACCTACATTTGAAAGTTTTACGTTAATAGGATAATTTGGATTGGAATTAAAAAACACGCCGGAGCCCAGCAGGTTGAGGCTGCGGTGGCCAGGAGCGGCCACTGCACTCCAGTCTGGGCGACGGAGTGAGACTCCAACTCAAAAACAAAACAAAACAAAACAAAACTTGTTAGTAGTAGGGTGTTAAAAACAGATACAAGCTACAATCTGAGAATTTTCTACAAACTGACTTTTGTTTATGGGTAAAGAGATAATTTGTATTATAAATATTTAAAAGTTCAGGTATTTGCATGGCTTTTGTGTGATTATAGTAGGAATGGAAACTTTGGAGAGAATGGATGAAAAGTGTAATTAGAGTTTACATTTATTGGGTATGTACTTGTCAGATGCTGTGCTAAGTGCTTTACCTTGTTTAATACGCTGATCTATCTTGAGTTAATGTCTAATTTTATAGATGAGAGGCAAGACCCAGAGATTATTATTAAATTATAATTGTACTTACAAGGGCAAAAGTAGTTAACTATCAGGGGAGGTTATGAAAGTTTTCATATGGAGACAGTTGATACTTAACCTGAATTTTGTAGGATGAATAAGAGTTTTAGTATAGCTGCATTTGGCCGGGCACTGTGGCTCACACCTATAATCCCAGTTCTTTGGGAGGCTGAGGTGAAAGGATTGCCTGAACCCTCAGGTTCGAGACCAGCCTGGCCAACTTGGCGTAGACCTCATCTCTACCATAAATTAAGAGAAATTTGCTGGGCGTGGTGGTGCATGTCTGTAGTTCCAGTTACTTGGAAAACTGAGGCAGAAGGATCTCCTGAGTCCAGCAGGTTCAGACTGTGGTGGATATGAGTTGGCCACTGCCTTCTAGCCTGGGTGACAAAGTGAGACTCTGACGCAAAAAAACAAAGCAAAACAAACAAGCAAAAAAGTCTAGCTGAATTCAGGACTAGAAGGAGAGCATGTAATGTGATTAGGAACACTGCTTATTGGGTTGGTGGCATGAAATGAATTGAACTGTTCGGAAACGGTTAGCAGTTTTTATGGCTAGGGAGTTTAATGTGGTATCAGGGCAGCTGAGAGAGATTGTCAGAGGCCAAATATGAAGGGATTTTTTTTGTATGCTTTGCAAAGAAAATAAGTTTTATTTATTTTTTAAAACATGGATATTGGCGAGAGGTTTAGTCAGTGGAGCAGTATCACAGTTTGAAAAGTTTATGATTTCCATTTAATTACTAATGATTTAATCTATACAGCAAGCTTAGTTGTTGAACTTAGTTTTGGGGCTAAAACATCCCCTAAGGAGATTTTTTTCATTTTATATTAGAACAAAAATTCTACAAATATTATTGGAGTTCAAGAAAGCCCACCACAGATACTTTCCTACGATTTAACAGTTGGTTCGCATATGGAATAATATGAAATATTGTTGTTATATTCTCTTTAAAGTCTACTTGTTGTTAATAGCTTTTCTCACATAGTGCCCAGCTGTCGCCTAAGTAGCCCCCCCATGCTGCTTGTCAAAGCTAGCTTTTATAGTTTCTAATACTTAATTATGTTGTTATTATTTTGTTATAAGAATATAGGCTGGACTATTGCCAAGCCGTTGTGGCTGTTACCTTGCTAAAAACTATGGTGTGGCCATGTGCTTTTGGATCTGTGGCTGGATCATGTTTTCTTAAGCTTTGGCCCCCTTCTCTACCTTGGGGAGGTGAATCTCCTCTCTCTCTCTCTCTAATTTACTTTTACATAAACTGTATTTTCTAATAAAAAAAGAATATAGGCTGAATCTACTGTGGCAAAACTTTAAAAAATTATATTTATTTTTTAGTAGTAATGCATCTGAATGGCATAAAATGATATATAATAAAAATCTCCCTCTCATCCCTGTCCATCACCTGCCCAGTTCCCTTTTCTGGAGACATCCAAAATTACTGATTTCTTGTATATACTTTCAGAGATATTTTGTGCCTGTACAATCAAATATCTCTTATATGTTCTTACTCCTCCTCATTACTTTTATACAGATATACCATACTTAATACATTGTTCCATATCTTCCTTTGTTCAGTTAACAATACAATTTGGAAATTGTTTCATATCAGTACATAAAGGACTTCCTCAATCTTTTTTTATAACTACATAATATTCCATAGTATGAATTTAGCATATTTATCTAATTTCTAGTTTGAGGGACTTTTAGCTTATTTCCAGTCTCTGGTTGTTATTAGCAAGATTGAAGCAAATGCCCTCATTTGTATGTTATTTCACACATGTATGAATATCCCTGTAGGATCAATTTCTTTTTTTTTTTTCTTGAATTGGGAGGTCTTGCTCTCTCACCCAGAGTAGAGTGCAGTGGATCACGTCTCACCATATCCTTGTCTTCCTGGGCTCAGGTGATCCTTCTGCCTCAGCCTTTGAAGTAGCTGATGGCTTATTTTTTGATTTTTTTTTTTTTAAGAGATGAATCCTCACTATGTTGCCTAGGCTGGTCTCAAACTCCTGGGCACAAGCAGTCCTTTCGCCTCTGCCTCCCACATTGCGGGGATTATAGGTGTGAGCCACTGTACCCAGCCAGGATCAATTTCTTGAAGTGGAATTTCTTTTCAAAAGCTATGGGTATCTGTCATTTTGAAAGTAGAGATGTTAAATGAACCGAAACTATAGAATTTAGTGGTATGTTATTTATTCACCATGAAATTTCATTTCACAACATATGGAAATCTAAGAAATATTTGCTAAGATATTACTGAACTCTTCATAAAATTCTTTTGTTTTACAGGTATACAAAACTAGGATATGCTGGAAATACAGAACCACAGTTTATTATCCCTTCCTGTAAGTATTCTTTTTAAGCCACAAATGAGCTGATTTAAAGATCTCTCTTTATAATTTAAGAAAAAGAAATAATTCGTTCTGACATTCTATAAGATTTAGTCTTGAAACCATGATTTTCCAAGTTCTAATATGTGGTATCATTTCTGCACCTCATTTTAACCTTCTGTTTAGCTCTTTGTATATCAAATCTACCAGATACCTCTTTTTAAAGAAAAAGGCAAAGGAACTGATAATTAGACAGTCTTCTGCTTTAAGGATATTGTTGTTAACAGTGTATGGGTGTAACTATTTAAGTAGTGCATTCCCCATCATATATATACCTATGAAGACTGTCCTTTGATTTATGGTTATGCAGGCCCTATGCCTGTTGTTTGTAGGGCATGTGCCTGTTGACATCTGATGAATTCCCATGTTGTACAGTAAGAACCTCATCTCACCATTAGAGATGTTGACTTCAGGTGTTTTCTAGTATCCTGTAACCATACTGTTCTCTTACATTATGTCTGTAGAGTATTGTTGTTCTAACCTATTTTTGTTAACCTCGCCTTAGCTGACCATCGTCTTTTAGTAGTTTAAAAAAATAAAATACTCTGACATGTTATTTGTTAGAGTTGTTTTTTGTTAGCATAGGTAATATGTCTGGTCCTTGATGGACATACTTTTTACTTTGTTTTTTTTAGTTGGGTTTGTACTCTGTCACCTAGATTGGTGTGTGGTAGCATGATCATGATTCACAGTGGCCTTGATCTCCTGGGCTCAGGTGATCCTTCTGTCTCAGTAGCTGATCTCAGGTGGTACATACCTGTAGTCTCTTGAGTAGCTGGGACTTTAGGCATGCACCACCATGCCTGGCTAGTTTTTTTAGTTTTTGTAGATACGTGGTCTTGCTGTGATGCCCAGGCTGGTTTCGAACTCCTGAACTCAAGAGATCTTCCTGTCTCAGCCTCCCAAAGTGCTGGGATTACAGGCGTGAGCCACCGTACCCAGCCTACTTTTTACTTTCAAACAGTTCACCTCTTGAAGCACTGCTTGATGGTTTTAGCACCTATATAGTTTAATTTTGGGAATGTCGCTAACTTTCTGCAGTAGTGGTGATCTGACAGTATTTTTGTCTATTGTTACTTGTTTATGAAAATAAGAAGGAAATGGAAAAATAGACATGTAGAGAGTAATGCAGTAGCATATGTTTCAAAGTTGAGAATAAGGTAGAAATTGTTAGATTTACTAAAAACTGTAGATTTTTTTTTTTTTAGTCAGTCTCACTCTGTTGCTCAGGCTGGAGTGCAGTGGCACGCTCATGGCCACCGCAGCCTCGACCTGCTGGTATCAGGTGATCCTTCTGCCTCATCCTTCCAAGTAACTGGAGCTGTAGGTGTGCATTACCACACCTGGCTTATTTTTTGATTTATTGTAGAGACGGGGTCTTACCAAATTGCCCAGGCTGGTCTCGAACACCTGAGCTCAGGCAATCCTCTTGCCCCGGCTTCCCAAAGTGCTGGGATTAGAGGCTTGAGCCACTGTGCCCGGCAAAGCTTCAGATCTTTATTATCAGTTGGGCACTCGTTGGACACAAGCAGGTCAATTGCTTTGTCATTTGTGTAGCAAGAACAATAGCAATAGTAAATGTGTGAAATTTAAGACACTGTCAGAATTATACCTAAAATGGGAAATGTATTTAGAGCCTTTATCCACCTTTTTCTTTTCCTAGAAACAAACCTTTTTGACTTTAGCACATGTCATTTTTTGGTATACTTTTCTAAGATTGGTTTTGTAAGTATTTAGGCAACTACTTAAATATAATAATCTTTTGAGTACCTAGAGTAGACTTTAGGTAACACTGATGAAATAGCTCATTCATGTGAGTCTAGTGGTCCTAGTTTGGCGATACTATTGCCTTTTAAAAAATAGTGTATCCATGTGTATTGTCATTTGTGCTTTTCTTTACATTTCCTCCCCATATTTATATATCAACACATCAATCATTTTTTGTCCCATTTTAAGAATTTAGTGACACAGATTGACTCTGTTGCTGATAAATGTAGAGGTACTTCTCTGGCTTACTAGTTGACTTTAGTAGTTTTAATGTTAGACCATAGTGTATGCCTTTATTAGTTTCCTCAGGCTGCTGTAACAAAGTACCAGAAACTGCTTAAGACAGCAGAAACTTGACAGTTTTGGAGCCTAGAAGTACAAAATCAACGTGTCAGCAGGGTCATGCTCTTTCTGACAGCTGTAGAGGGAAACCTTCCTTGCTTCTTCTAGCTTCTGATGTTTTCTTAGGATCCGAGGCTGGTAGATGCAACAGTCACATGGCAGTCTTTCTGCTTTGTGTCTTCACATCATCATCTTTCTGTGTGTGTCTTCCTGTTTCCAGATTTCCCCTTTTTATAAGGATACGAGTCCTAGGATCAGAGGTGACCCTGATAACCTCATTTTAACTCAGAAGACCCTGTTTCCAAGCACAGTCAATTCTGAGGTGTGAGAGGTTAGGACTTCATATCTTTTTGGGGAACACAATTCAATGCATAACGATGGTTATGTAATCTCTTAATTTTTAATCTTTTGTTTATAATCATTTGTTATGATTATTTCAGGAGGTTACTGAAGTATTTCTGTCTTAGCAAAATTTGGTTTTGGTTTTGTTCTTAAATGACTGTTTAAATGACTGTATTAAGTTTTTGTTGTAGTCGTATATAATCTTTATCTTTTGAACCTTAGGATCGCATTACCATTGAATTCATTCTTTATTTCATATCTCTGCCAAAATTTGAAGTCTTTTTTTTGTTTTTTTGCCTTTCTTATGAGTAATTAACGGCATGTTAAAAATTTGCCTACTAAGAAGGTTTTTGCTTTTTTTCCCCACCCAGTTTTAATCCAGGGGCATTGTTTACAATCAGCAGTTGTAGACTTTGCCACTATCACCTTCAGATACATGTGATATTTGACCTGGAAAGTCTATAGATATGGTTTAAAGTTTTATGTGTATATATGTATAACATATATATATATATATATATATTTATATATACATAAAATATATATGTATTTGTTTTTCAGGAAATTTATAATGAACCATCTGGATGTTTTTGTATATTATAAATAAATTGCTAGAGAGAATTTCTAACATTTTGAAGGAGTAGATTGGATTTAAAATTTTTTTCCTTTCAGTTATTTTGTACCCATCTTACTAAAACTATATATTAATTTATTTTGAGTAGGAGTCTCACTCTGTTGCCCAGGCTGGAGTGGCGCGCTCACGGCCACTGCAGCCTCCACCTGCTGGATTGAGGTGATCCTTTCACCTCAGCTTTTCAAGTAGCTGGAATCACAGGTGTGTGCCTCCGTGCCCAGCTAATTTTTTTGTTTATGTAGAGATGAGGTCTTGCCAAGTTGTCCAGGCTAATCTTGAACCCCTGGATTCAGGCAATCCTCTCACCTCAGCCTCCCAGAGTGCTGGGATTATAGACATGAGACACTGCACTCAGCAGGATATAGTGTTATTAAGTGAAAGTGATAGTTGAATGCAAGATCCGTTTAAGTGCATATAGACAATTATTTTGAATAAAGAACTGCTTAGCTTGATGGATTTGAAAATTTATAACTTGATTTGAAAATATATAACAAGTTTTAGATCTGGAACTGTGATGGGTTTCTGAAATTATTTGGGGGGACTGTTGTAAATTTTACATAAATGAATTGAGATTTCCTTTTTAATATGTAATTAAAGTTCAACAGAAATTCTTATTGGGTTTAAATTACTAAATTACAATAGTGAATATAGTAAAGATATGAAGAAAGTTTGATTCTTAAATTTTTTAATTTGTTTTTTAGTGTTTTCTAGTTTTTTTCTTTCTGACTATTCATGAAGCATATGTGAATTTTGTGGGATTATAATTATACTCAGAATCAAATGAGAATTTACATAGTCTATTTAGTTATTGATTGATTGATTGAGTCGGGTCTCAGACTGAAGTCTAGAGGCATGATCATAGCTCACTGAAGCCTCAGTTTCCTTGGCTCAGGTGATATTTTCACCTCAGCCTCCTGAGAAGCTGGGACTACAGGTGCGCATCGCCATGCTTGCCAGATTTTTACATTTTTAAATAGGGGTTAGGTCTCATTGTGGTCTTGAACTCAGGAGATCCTCCTACCTCGGCCTCCCAAAGTGCTAGGATTACAGGTGTGAGCCACTGTGCTTGGCAAGTTTTAAAAAAATATATCTAAAACACTTCCACAGGAATAGTTTGTTTTTTTGGCTTTTTGCATTTGAGGGATTGTCTGAGTGGAAGCTGAGATTTCATTGTGTACAATGAATTTTATTACTGCTTTTTAATGACTTTTGTGTATTAGTTTAACAATTTAAATATGTTTCATCACATTTTTCTTTATAACATTTTATAATGGAAGAAGTAGAAGTTAAAACTTTGTCTTCTTTGAAGAAAATGAATTCTTTGACCTGTCTAAATAACTTTTATTTTAAAGGTATTGCTATTAAGGAGTCAGCAAAAGTGGGTGATCAAGCTCAAAGAAGGGTGATGAAAGGTGTTGATGACCTAGACTTCTTCATTGGTGATGAAGCAATAGAAAAACCTACATATGCAACAAAGGTATGTTTTTATGATTTGCATAAATAAATCGTTTTCTTTCAAAAATTAATTTTGTCAGTGATCATGCCCTGTAGAACTTTTTTAAAGACCTAATATCGCCAACCTCTTTACAATAGGAATTTATTCTTCTTCCCTGTTGCACCTTTTCTTGTTACCTTAGCTCTCCTTTTTTTTGCCCATTAGAAAAATTTAGGCTGGGCACAGTGACTCAAGCCTGTAATCCCCAGCACTTTGGGAGACTGAGTTGAGAGGATTGCCTGAGTGGTTCGAGACCAGCCTGGCAACTTGGTGAGACCTCATCTCTTCATCTCTACAAAAAAACAAAAAAAATTAGCCAGGCATAGTAGCACGCGCCTGTAGTTCCAGCTACTTGGAAGACTGAGGTGGAAGGATTTCCTGAACCCAGCAGTTCGAGGCTGCTGTAGCCATGAGCGTGCCACTGTACTTCAGCTTGGGCAACAGAATGAGCCTTCGACTCCAAAAGAAAAAAAAGAAAAATTTAGCTCTTGAAGTGAGCAGTATTTACTTCTCTATACCCACTGACTCAAAGGACCCCCAATGTTATTGGCTTTTTCTTACTACATCTGAAGACATTTCCCTCTCATTCTCATTCAAACCATTTCTCTCTTTTTTGAAGCTTATGACAGCCCTGAGCGCTGCTCTTTTCCTCCTTTTCCCCCTCCTTTCTCCTTTCTACCCTTGCCCCTCCCTTTTCGTTGAAGTATAACTTACATACAAAAAAGTATGAAAGTCTTGTTTGTTTGTTTGAGTCAGTCTCATTCTGTCACCCAGGCTGGAGTGCAGTGACATGCTCACGGCCACCACAGCCTCGACCTGTTAGACTCAGGAGATCCTCCTGCCTCTACCTTCCAAGTAGCTGGAACTACAGGCGTGCTTAGCAGGCATAGTACTATTAGCTGTGCCATGCCTAGCTAATTTTTTGATTTATTGTAGAGACGAGGTCTCGCCAAGTTGCCTAGTCTGGTCTCGAACCCCTGAGCTGAGGCAGTTCTCTTGTGTCAGCATCCCAAGGTGTTGGGATTACAGGCGTGAAGCTACTGCACCTGCCTTGTAAGTCTTAATTGTCCAATTTGAACAATTTTTGTGACTGTAATCATAATAGTTCAAAATAGAGGGCAACAATGTTTTGACCTTTATCATTTTATTTTTTGACATTGACTTTCCCTAATTTGCAAATATCCTTTGTATTTTTTTGTCCCTTCTCTCATAATTTATTCATTAATGGACAACTATACCACATGTAAAAACCATTGCCAAGTCCTGAGAGTACAGTGATGGTGTATAAGAAAAATAGCTTTCCTGATTTCAAGGCTATTATAATGTGGTGGAAAAGAAGATGTTGAAGAAATAATTACAAGTGTGATAGAGGTTAGGAAAAGGAAAAGTACAGGCTTCTCTGGGCATATATCACAGGAGTAGCTAACCTAATTTGGGGATTCAGGAAAGTCCTTGAGGAATTGTTAAGCTGGAAAATGAAGAATGCAGTAGAAGTTAGCTGGGTGAGTTGTGCAAGCTCAGTTGTTTTAGCTAGAGAGACCAATATGCTGGAAGGCTTTAAAGTATGAGGGAGACTAGACCTGCACAAATATGCCTGAAATATAGAGAAGGAAGTGGAAAGAAGCTGGATAGGTAGGACAGCAAAGAGCATCGAACCTGTGGTTAGGTCATATTAAAGATTTTGAACTCTATCCCATGGGCAACATTAATAAGTTTAAATAGAGGAATAATTTTAGACGAGATCGGATGCATTCAGGGTGGTATGGCCACAGACAGGAATAATTTTGTTGCTTAAAAGCAAAAATAGTGGAGTCTGCCTGTTCAAACTTGAATTCTGGCAGTGCTAATTTCTACCTTTGTGATATCATTCAGTGACCTAACCTTTCTGAGTTTTGATTTCTTCATCTGTAAAGTGGAGACATTATTAGTATATGATATAATATGTATAAAGAAGTTACACTAGTTGTATACTATTATACACTACACTGTTATACACTAGTGCTTTTAAACATATTGAATACTAAATATGTATTGACTATTTTTATTATTTAGAAAGGTTTACTCAGTCACAGTGATAATGAAATAAAACTATATACGGGAAGCAAGCATGATACTGGGTAGACCAGGTAATTGATGATTGCTAAGGTAAGGGATATATTAGTGATTTGGACTGTAGTGATGGCAGTGGGTATAGAGAGAAATGGAAATTGTGTGTGTGTGTGTTCACACAAATGGAGATTTAACTTTTGTAGAAAACTTCATATATAAAAGTAAAGAAAAAATATAATGAACCTCCATGTGACTACAACACAGTTTTGGCAGTTAATCTTGTTTTATCCATACCCACGCCCCTACCTGTATTTTAAAATAAAGCATCTGTATTATTTCACTTATAGATACACATCTCTTAAATATAAGAACATTAAAAAAGATAAATATCACCCCTTAATATAGTATGCAGTTTCTTATATAATATCTAGTCAGTGCTTATATTTCCCTGATTATTTTCTATATTGATTATTATGTTTGAATCAAGATTAAAATAAGGCCTACTCATTGGATTTAGTTGATAAGTCTCTGAAGTCTCTTTTTGTCTATAGGTTCTTCTCCCAATATGTGTTTCTTTACTTATTCTTTCCATTTGTTTGTGTAAATCCTAGTTGTCTTATAAAAGTTCCCATATTCTGGGTTTTCTGATTATTGTAACTGTATTGTGTCATTTAACACGATATGCTACTTTGTATAGTTACTTATTTTGCTGTAGAATGATAGTTAAATCTGGAAGTCTGATTAGATATATGGGAGTCTTTTTTTTTTTTAACAATAATAAAAATGTGGTTATTTAGAGAGTAACAAGGAATGATTCATGAGAGAATGGTGGTAAACTAGACATATCAATTGAGGATAATTCCCAGCTCCTATATGGTCTCCTTGTACCTTATCTCCTGATTTTGAGAACATTGAAGGAGAAACACTTAATTTTTAAAAAATTTTATTTGATACATAATAATTGTACATATTTATGGAACGTGTAGTGATGTTTTGATACATGCAGTGTATAGTGATCAAATCAGAGTAGTTAGCATATTCACCTTAAACATTTTTCATTTTGTGTGTGTGTGTTGGGAAGATTCAAAATCCTCTTCAGATATCTGAAAATACATAATAAATTATTGCCAACAGTAATTATCCTTCAGTGCTATGGGACACTAGAACTTATTCCTCCTATTTAGCTGTAATTTTGTATCTTTTAAATACTCTCTTCCTAACCTCTTCCCTCCTCTACCCTTTTCAGCCTCTAGTAACCACATTTCTACTCTCTACTTGTATGAGATCAACTTTTTTAACTTCAGCATATGAGTGAGAACATGTGGTATTTATCCTTCCGTTTCTGGCTTATTTCACTTAACATAATCCTCCAGATACATCTGTGTTGTAGCAGATGACAGGATTTCATTCTTTTTTTGTGACCAAATAGTATTTAATTGTGTATACATAAAATTATTGATCTGTTGATGGATACTACATTGATTCTATACTTAGGCTACTGTGAGTAGTGCTGCAATAAATACTTGAGTAGCATACATCTCTTTGATATTATGATTTTCTTTTTCTTTTTTTTGGATGTATACACAGTACCGAGATTCCTGGATCATAAGGTGTTCTATTTATGGTTTTTGAGGAACCTTCATAGTGTTCTCCATAATGGCTATGCTTTTTTATATTCCCATCAACAGTATATAAGAATTCCCTTTTCTCCACATCTTTGCTAGCATTGGTTATTTTCTATCTTTTTTGATAATAGCCATTCTTTTTTTTGAGTTGGAGTCTTCATTCTGTTGTCCAGACTGGAGTACAGTGACGTGCTCACAGCTGCCACAGCCTGGATCTGCTGGGCTCAGGCGATCCTTCTGCCTCAGCCTTCCAAATAGCTGGAATCACAGGTGTGCACCACCACACACTGCTAATATTTTTTTTTATTGTAGAGATGAAGTCTCGTCAAGTTACCGAGGCTGGTCTTGAACCTCTGACTGAGCTCAGGCAGTCTTCTTGCCTCCGCCTCCCAAAGTGCTGGGATTACAGGCATGAGTCACCACGCCCAGCTAATAATAGCCATTCTAACTGGGGTGAGATATTTTACATTGTGGTTTTGATTTGCATTTTCCTGATGATTAGTGATGTCGAACTTCTATAATCCTATTTATTGGACATTTGTATGTCTTCTTTTGAAAAATATCTATTCAGATCATCTGCCCCTTTAAAAGTCAGATGATTTGTTTTGCTGTTATTGAGTTGTTTGAGTTCCTTATATATTCTAGATATTAATTCCTTGTCAGATGTATAGTTTGCAAGTCTTTTCACCCATTCTGTAGGTTGTCTTTTTACTTTGTTGATGGTTTTCTTGACTGTGCAGAAGATTTTTAGTTTTATATAATTACATTTTTGTTGCCTGTACTTTTGTTGCCTATGCTTCTCAGGCCTTATTCATAAAGTCTTTTCCCACACCAGTGTTCTGAAGCACTTCCTTAGGTTAAAACTAGAATAACATGAGTAGTTTTATAGTTAATCTTTAATTCATTCTGAGTTGATTTTTATGTAAGCTGAGACAGATGGGGTCTAGTAGAGAATAGGTTTCATATTGAACACATCATGTTTGTGGTACCTGTGAGTCATCTGAGATGTTAGACAATGAAATATGGATTTTGAGCTAAGAAAGGATACAGAGCTGGAGACACATTGGGGAGGAATCACTTACCTTTGGAGGGAATGAAATTACCTAAGGGAGTGTATAGCAAGGGAAGAGGCCTAGGACAGAGCTGAGCAATAAGCTAGTTAGGTTTGGGTAGTAGAGAAAAAGTCTACAAAAGAGATGTGAAGACATGGTTGGAGAGACAGAAGTAAACAGAAAGGAGGGATAAGCAATGGAATGCTGCTGAGATACTGTATTAGAGCCCGTAGATAATTTGCTGTCTGCTAGAAAGAGGTCATTTGTAACCTTAATGAGAATAGTTTTAGAAGAGTAGTTGGGTTGGAGGAAGGTAGGGTTGTGAATGGTAGGTCAGGAAAAAAAAAAGTACCAGTAGGAATACTCTACTGTTTTAGCTGTGATTGGGAGGAAGTGATAGATGAAGAGACAAGTTTCAGGGTTAAGATGGAAGAGTTACTTAAATGCTAATGTGAAAGAGCCATTAGAAAAAAAATTAAAGTAGCAGGAAAGACGTAGGGTAGACTCAGTCTCTCAAATCCAGAGCACAGATGATATAATTGATACAAGGAATATTTCTTATATTACAATGGAGGTGAAAGAGAAGAAGGGGTAAGTATGGAATCAATTTTACAGATTTGGTGAAGGGAGTTTGGATTCTTGACTTTTGGCTTCTGCTTTCTCTGTGAAATGTGTGGTGACGTCATCTGCTTCTCATGAAATGCAGGGAGAAGTTGAAATCTGAGTGGTAGGGAAAGCATTGGAAGTCATCATTGTGTCAAATAAACATGAACATAGTAGGGAAACACAGCCTTGCCAGGCAAGATTAGGTGCATTTGAGAATCACGATTATGAATTCTTAGTTTTATCAGCTCGGCTATGTTTCTGTAGTACAGTCATCATTCTGGGTATAAGCACATTTATGGTAGGGTCATGCTGAGTTGAATTTTGGTAAATGGGATGAAAAAAATGACGTGAATAGTTTTAAGTAATAGGTTGGATGCTGGGCATGGTGGTTTATGCCTGTAATCCCATCACTTTGAGAGATGAAGGCGAGAGGAGGATTGCCTGAGCCCAGGGATTTGAGACCAGTCTGGGCAACTTGGCAAGAACTCAAATCTACAATAAATCAAAATATTATCCAAGCATGGTAGTGAGTGCCTGTAGTTCCAGCTATTGGGAAGGCTGAGATGGAAAGATTGCCTGAGTTCAGCAGAGGGAAGCTGTGGGTAGCCACTGTGCTGTAGTCTGGGTGACAGAGAGAGACTCCAACTCCAAAAAAAGAAGGAAAGTAATGGGTCATGAAATCTAAACTGTGTGTATTGATGGCTAGGGAATAATTAGGGCAGCCAGTGGACTGAAAGTCTTAATTGTAATCAAAAGAGGTATAGTGAGGTGGTAGACTATGCTAGAATAATAAAAGTGTGCGATCAGAAAAGGTTATACTTGCATTTGAGAGTTTGATGATAGTGATAAGAACAATACTGTGGCCAAAATAGAAAAGAGAAATTATTAAAGGTAATGAAGTCAGTGAGCTGAGAGGCCAGAGTTTCACTCCACTGATAATGTCCTCTAATTTTAAATACATTTTCAGGTCTTCCAATGCTACAAACAACCCAAAACAACAAAACTTCTTTCAGTATTCTGCCATGTCCTCAGCAATTTAGCTTTTGTCTTATTTTCCTCTTTACTCTTTACACCAAACTTCTTATTCAGTCTCAAGTTGTTTAATATGTTCTTTGTTAAATCTAGTTATATGTAGTAGTCTTCATCCTTCTTGGTTTGTCTTTTTACAGGGTTACGCTGACAGTTCTCTTCCTAACATGGGACATTTTGTTGTTGTTGTTTTCTACCGTCACTGGTTTCTCTCCTTTGCCCACTACTCAAATGCTGATACTCCCCAAGTATTACCCTTGGTTTCCTTTGATTCTTTCATTAAAGACTTTCTCTAGGTAATCTCATCCACTCCTTTGTCTACAGCCACAATCTAGGTCTCTACTTCCAATTTCTTTTCTTTTCTTCCTTTTTTTTTTTTGAGTAGGAGTCTTACTCTATTGCTCAGGCTGGAGTGCAGTGGCTCGTTTATGGCCACTGCAGCCTTGACCTACTGGGCTTAGGTGATCCTTCCGCCTCAGCCTTCCAAATAACCGGAACTACAGGTATATACCACCACACCCAGCTTACTTTTTGACTTACTGTAGAGATGAGGTCTCATCATGTTGCCCAGGCTGGTTTCAAACTCGTGGGCTCAGGCAGTCCTCTCACCTCCACCTCCCAAAGTGCTGGGATTATAGGCATGAGCCGCTGTGTCCTGTTTACTTCCAGTTTATTGACTACATCTTTAACTACCTGTCAACTACCTACCCCCTGGCTCTTGAGTTTAATATATACAAAACATAATTTATTATATATGTTCCACTTTTGTTTACTCCAAGACTAGACAAAGCACAACTTTTGTGTTTTGATTAATAGATCCTGTCCATCCTGACTTCAAAACTGAAAACCTACTGATGCTATTTTACTGTGAGGATGCTTATGTCTGTTAGGTACTACACAACTTCCAAAACCTGGAATCAGAAAACAAGATTCTCATTTCTTGTTTTACATGGATTTTATTTTGTGTGATAATTTGGTTTTTACTCCAGCAACGACTGACAACTCAACTTCTTAAAGAAATAATGTCATTGAGTGGAATATACTATGATTTAATGTTGCATCTGATTTACTTTGACTTGCAGATTATGCAGTGTCCACCTGATGTTGAGTATCACCATGTTTTCCTGGAAAATTTATTTATTTTTTATTTTTTTTTGAGTTGGAGTCTCACTCTTTCACCCAGACTGGAGTGCAGTGGCCGCTCCAGCCACCGCAGCCTCAACCTGCTGGGCTCTGGCGACCCTTCCGTCTCAGCCTTCCAAGTAGCCGGAATTACAGGCGCGCGCTACCACGCCCGCCTGATTTTTTGATTTATTGTAGAGATGAGGTCTTGCCAAGTTGTCCAGGCAGGTCTCGAACCCTCAGGCTCAGGCAATCCACTCTCCTCAGCCTCCCAAAGGTGTGGGATTACAGGCTGAGCCACCGAGCCCGGCTTCCTGGAAAATTTAAAATACTTTGTGCATCCTTGTGAATTTGCTGTAGAATATTGAGGTGCTGCCTTCGTCTGTTTTTTGTTGCTGTAGCAGAATACCTCTGGATAATTTATAAAGCAAGAGATTTATTTTGGCTCACGGTTCTGAAAGAGACTGGGAAGTCAAGATGGGGTGGCCACATCTGGTCAGCCTTTGGTGATGATCTCATGATGCCTCATAACATGGTGAAGAAGTAGAAAGGGAACCAGGGGCAAAACACAAGGGGCACCCTCACTGTATAACAGCCTTGCTCTCATCTCCTTGGAGAATTAACCCAGTCCCAGTGAGAGCTGCACAAAATCATCTTAATGACCCAGTCACTTGTAAAGGCCCCACCACCTCTCAACACTGTTACATTGGTGGGGACAAATCACATCCAAACCATAGTAAGCTTCTTGGCATGTGAGATTTTTTTTTTTTACTTAGAAAATAAAGTTTATTTAGAAAGTAAATTAGACAGAGAGGAGATTCACCTCCTCAAGGTAGGGGAGGGGGCCAAAGCTAGGAAACATGGCTTCCATAGGTCAAAGAGCCACCTGGACACACCAGAGTTCAGCAAAGCAATGACTGGCACATGGTTTTAGAAACATGATTCTGTATAAATATATACAGCTTTTCTTAAAAATTATACATGCGTGATTTCTATGTTTAGTGAAGCTATGATTATTCTAGCAATTATACTTTTTGGTATACAACAAATATTTGTTAATGAACTAGTAAATTAAAAACTAAGGAAATTGTGATAGACTGTAATTTTTTAGGTTTACTTTAATTAATGTACTGAGTTTTCCCATTATTGCAAAAGTTAAAAAAAATCTACAAAGACTCGTATAGTCCATCTATATTTAACAATTTTTAACATTTTGACATACTCACTTTATATTTTTTATTGAACCATCTAACAGAATGTTGTAGAAATAATGTCATTTATCTTTAAGCACTGTTAAATATGCTTATTTAAAGATGATCTATAGTATCACATCTAAGGAAATGTATCCTCATGTAATATAATACTAATGATCTAATATTCCCTGGGTGATTTCTTTTTGTATTTTTATTTATTTTTGATTTTAATAAGATTTAATTTGTGTTTTAATATTTTGTTTTAATAGTGGCCGATCCGCCATGGTATAGTTGAAGATTGGGACTTGATGGAAAGGTTTATGGAGCAGGTGATCTTTAAATACTTAAGGGCAGAACCTGAAGATCATTATTTTCTTTTGGTAAGTACAAGTTATAATTTCACTGAGGAAATTTTTAAAGAAACTTACTGAGAACATTTTTATAGTCTCTGTACTCACTAAGGCATACTTTTAATCAAATTGCCATATGTCTAAAATACTTTCTTATAAAGCTGTATAATTTTTAAAACTGTCTATGGGCTATAGTAGAATAGTAGCATGGCAAAGCACCAAATTATAAACACTTAAAAAATACTTTTGACAATTAATATATAATCTTTATGATAGAAACAGTAAATAATGTTCAGAAAAAAGTTGGAGACCTGTGGGACGTTTCTTTTTCTTTTTTAAATAATCTGGTCATTATTTTATTGGTAATTTTTGATAACAAAAATATATAATTTAATTTTTAAACTTTTTCTTAACAGCAATGCATATTTATAGAAAAAATCAAATGTCTTTACAAGACATAAAACAAAAAAATAACTTTCTTTCCTTTCCCAACGCCCGATTCATATCCCACAGAGGCAAACAATTTCAGTTTTTAAAAAGGTTTCTCTGGTATTAATGTTCATGAATGTAAATAATATATGTCTTCTGTTGTTTTGTTTGTTTTTAAAAATATAATACAGTTTTTACCAACTTCCTAAAAGGAAAAATGAGAATTTTTTTCCTTTTCTCTTCTTTGACACAAAATGCTTATCCTTTCCCCCTTCCACATTATGGCAATATCACAGTTTTTGGTAACATTAATATTCTACATTTTATTGTGATGATTTGTGACTCTTTTTTATTGCTGAACTCTAAAGTTGAGAGAACTTTACTGTGGACATCTATACACCCACAGCCTAGATTCAACAGTTAACATTAACATTTTACAATAATTGCTTCGTGACATCTATTCATCTGTCACTTCATTTTAGTTGTTGAATTACTTCAAAATGAGTTGCAGATGGGAGTCATTTGACCCCGAAATACTTTAGCATGCATAATCATTAGCTAGAGCACATTATTATTGTTTTCATAGAAAATTTACATACCATGCAATCACAGATCTGAACCATTCTATGGATTTTGACCAGAGATTGGCAAATTCTCTGAAGGACCAGATAGCAAATACTTTTGACTTTGCAGGTGATATGGTCCCTGAAGAAACTTAATGAGAACTGAATAGGTCTCTGTTGTAGTTACTTTGCTCGGTTGTAGCTCGAAAGCAGCTGTAGACAATACTTAATAGGTATGGCTGTGTTGCAATAACATTTTATTTGTAAAGTCAAGTGGTGTGCCAGATTTGGCCTACAGGGTGCATGATGTGATTTGTCTAACTTTTAGTTACTATCAGCTTAGAAGGATTTTCTCATGGCCATTTTTTAGTAAATCTCTGTTCCCATGTCCTGGGGGCAACCACTGTTTTTTGTTTTTTTATTCCCCTCAGCTGAGATGAGTTTTGTCATATTTGAGTTTCATATAAATGGAATCATGCAAGATGTGCTTTTTGGTAAAACTTCTTTTACTTAGAATGAAATCTTGAGATTCATCCTTGTTGTGTATTCCAGTGATTTTATGCTTTTTGTTGCTGCATGGTATTCCATTGTAAGAATATGCCTCACTTTAGCCATTTTCCTTTTGGTGGTCACTTGTACTATTTCGAGGTTTTGACTATTATAGTTTGGCTATGTGTCTTTTTGTGAACATGTGTTTTCATTTCTCTTGTCTAAGAATGTAGAGGTGGAATTGCTGTGTCATAGGGTAGGTGCATGGTTGATTTTGTGGGAATCTCAGATTTTTTTCCCAAGGTGTTGTACCTTTTTACATACCCACCAATAATGTATTAATGATATGGTTGCTCTATCCAACATTGGGTGTGTTAGTCTTTTTAATTTTAGCCATTCTGGTGAGAGTGTAAGATTTCTCATTTGCTTTGAATTTGCATTTTCTGATGATTAATATCTAGCATTTTTCATGTACTATTATAGTTATTAACTATATATATATTTTTTTTTTTTTTTTTTTTTTTTTTTTTTTTGAGTCGGAGTCTCACTCTGTCGCCCAGACTGGAGTGCAGTGGCCGCTCCCGGCCACCGCAGCCTCGACCTGCTGGGCTCTGGCGATCCTTCCGCCTCAGCCTTCCAAATAGCTGGAACTACAGGCGCGTGCTACTACGCCCGGCTGATTTTTTTTTTTTTTTT